TTCCACATAGCATTTGGTGATCCCAGCACCTCAGAGAGCTGCTGCGAGCCAGAGGACGTCCCCTCCACGGCCAGGCCTGTGGTCACTGACATCACTTCCAGCTGTCTTCTTCAGTGGACTGTGGCCCAGGATCTGTACACCAAATAAACCCTTTCCTTCCCCAAGTTGTTTTTGATTGGGGTTTATTTTAGGTTTAGAAACCTAAAATAAGGCAAACTCAATCCCACAAGCAACAAACAAAACATGTGGCCTCTTGTGTCCAGTGCTGGAGGCAGTCGGTCTACCCTTGAGCTACAAAAAGTAAAGCTTTTAAAAGTTACTAGATACTTCCATATTGCTTCCAAAGAGGTCATTTCAATGTGCAAACGATGTAGCAGGAGGATTTGATGTCATCCTACCTACTCAGATCGAGGGTCGGGAATTCTTATTTTACAGAGTTTTAAAAATCTGGATTTTTAAGAAAAACTTTAATTTGAGTGAAAAGTGGCACTCAGTTCTGTTTTGAGATGCACTTCTTGGGAAAGTCCAGGAAGCCTCAGGAGTCACTTCCTCTACACAAACGGTGCAAAGGGCTATGGGCTTGTGCATGCTGAACCCTCTAGGGACTGTTTGAGGGGGTGTGTGCATATACACACGTGTGCATGTGTACTTGTGTGTGTGCAAATACACATGTGTGCACGTGTACTTATGTGTGTGTGTGCGCGCACATGTAGAGGCCAGAGGAAACCTCAGATATGTCTTCGAGGATGCTGTCCAGCTCCTTAGAGATAGAGTCCCTCATTTGCCAGGAGCTCACCAGCAAGCCCAAAAGACCCACCAGTCTCCACCTTCCCAGTACTGAATTTACAAGCATGCATCACCATGCCTGGCATTTTTATGTGAGTTCTGGGGTTTGAACTCAGGACCTCATGCTTGTGTGGCAAGCACTTTACCACTGAATCATCTCCGTGGCGCAAACCCCCCAGAAATTAGAAGGTACTTGTTACCCAATGTATAGACGCCACAGGACATAACCAAGAGGGACTTTGAGAACATGTGCATGCCACTAGTCAGCCACCTAGATCACAGTCCTCCTCCTGCAGAAGGCAAATATCAGAAAGAAAAAGGAAAAAAAAATAAAGAGAACAAAAATTTCCATTTCTGTCTGGAATTACCATTTTCAGTGAGGCTGCTTGGTGGCTGGCTACAGACAGCCCAGCTGCTAAGGCTGAGTCCAGTCTGGTCTGCCTGTCTCACCACAGACTCTGTCTGATGGCTACAGGGAACGAACAGGACGTAGAGAAAACCCATCTTCACAGCAGCTCCTTCAGGCCCTTGCCACTGGAACACTCTGTGCCCAGGCCAGATTCCCGCCTTCATGAATTATTCACGCCGGCCACCTTCCCCAATGCCATTCCTTCTAGGCTGGGTGTCTTGTCAGCTGGGGAGAAATTTGTAAATGTAATTTGTGTTCTCAATTTTTGCCATAGTTGCAGTCATTATTTCGCCCCATAACTCTCCATCTTCCTCCCATATTTTCTCTTCTCCACTTTTTAATCAGAGGGATGTGTCAAGAGTGAAGCTGAACATTCTGCTTTCTCCTGGCACACGCCTCTTGAGGTGGCTGGTAGCAATGAGGTGAAAGTAATTGCCAAGGGTATCTACTTCTTAAACACACACACACACACACAATGTGTTTGTGCCTGTGTGTGTGTGCATGCATGCATGCACAAATATGTCCTTTCATTTGAGTATGCCTTGGATTTTGGATTTTATACTGCATATCAGATATTTGCATTGTGATTCATAACAGTAACAAAATTATAAAGTAGCAACAAAATTATTTTATGATGGGGGGGGTCACCACAACATGAGTTGTGGTGTTTTGAAGGGTTGCAGCATTAGGAAGGTTGAGAACCTCCACTCTAGCTCCTCCTGAGACCCTGAAACCATTTGTGCAAATTAGGGAAGAACTGTTTACAATTGGTTGGGAGAGGTAGTTCAAAGGGTCCTGTCACTCTCCCATCCCCTTTTAGGGGTGAATGTCAACAGTCAACAAGCCCAACTGTGATAATCTTCAGGGAGCTGGAGCATCTGAATTCATGAAATCTGACTCAGGGTTTAGTTCTGTACAAGGTAAAATGTGGTGGCCAAGCATGACCGGAAGGGACAGGAAGTGGCCTAGAACAGTTCTGGGGGAAAAAAAACAAACACACACAAAAAATGGCCAATAGCCTGGAGTGGGCACCTAGGAAATTATGTACATAGAGAGCCATCTATGTTTCTGGTTCAGCCAATGTGGGTATTTTGTTACAGCAGCACAAACACACTAAGACAGTCAATCCCCCTGTCCTGTACAGCTTGCCTGTCCTCAGCTTCAGCGTTGCTGACAATCTGAGCAAACGAGTCTGTGCTGGTTGATGTCAGCTGTTGGCTTGGTAGGATCTGGAATCTTCTGTGATGGGGTCTCAATGAGGGGTTGTCTAGGAGAGGTTGGCCTGTAGTCCTCCTGTAAATGGTTCTCGGAGGTGGGAAGCCGCACCTGAATGTCACTGGCCCCATGTCATAGCTGGGCTCTGTACTGAATGAAGAGGCTGAGCTCAGCAACCTCGGTCATTGCTCTTTTCTGGAGATGTGAGGTGATGGCTGCCTCAAGCTCTTGCTGTCCTGACTTCCTGCCATGATGGACTGTGAGCCTGTGAGCTGAAATAAACCCTCCCTCTGTGAGTTGTCAGTCTGTCATGACCACAGGAAAGGACAGTAAGACATTTATCCGCTTTCAAGCCACAGCTCAGTGGTCTCAGCACAACACTACTACCCACTCTGCTTCCTCCCCCCAAACTGCAGCCATTCCCAGCCAATACCAACTGCCCGTCCACTACACCTCACTCCACTTCCTGTCTCTGGAAATGACTATTGTAGGGATTGATCACAGGGCTTCTGTCCTTTCAGTCTGGCTTATTTCATCTTCCCACCCCCGGGGTAGGATTTCTCTGTGAAACAGTCCTGGCTGTCCTGGAACTCACTCTGTAGACCAGGCTGACCTTGAACTCACAGAGATCCACCTGCCTCTGTCTCCCAAGTGCTGGGATTAAAGGTGTGCGCCACCACCATCCAGTTATTTCATCTCCTTTTCAGTATTTATCCATGCTACAGCCTTCTTCTGTTTTATGTAGTTATAACAAATACCACAGACTTATAGAACAGAAGTGTATTTTTCACAACTGTGGATTGAGTATTAGGCAGGTTCAAGGTCTGGTCAGAGTCTGGTCTCTGTTTCCAAGATTTTCAGGATGATGCCTCGATCACAGTGTCCTTTCTGTGGGTGGAGGATTGTGTTGGCACAGGGCAGAAAGGCACAAGGGATGATCTCCATGTTGAGGGCAGCTGTGAGCTCTGCTCACTAGATGCCAAGGTCCTTTGCGATGGTTAGTGTTGATTGTCAACTTGACAGGCTTTAGAATCTCCTAGGAGACACCCCTCTGTGAAAGCCTATGTGGGATCACCTAGATTAGTTTAGCCCCTGGGTATGCCAATGAGGGATTATGTTTAAGTTAATTGAGATGGGAAGACCCACCCTAATAGTGGACCCTATTGTTCCCCTTTTATGGGATGCATAAAAAGAAGGGATCTGCTGAAACCCAGTATTTGTCTCCCTCAGCCTCCTGCCCAAGCGTGAGGTGAGCAGCTGCCTCAAGTTCCAAGTCCCAGATGCTATGACTTCCCTGCCATGATGGACCGTACGCTCAAACTGAACAAAATAAATCCTTTCTCCTGTAAGTTGCTCTTGTCAGGGAAGTTTATCACAGTAAGAAAACTCCCTTCTTGCTGGGCAGTGGTGGCATATGCCTTTAATCCCAGCACTCGGGAAGCAGAGGCAGGTGGATCTCTGAGTTTGAGGCCAGCCAGGTCTGCAGAGTGAGTTTCAGGACAGCCATGACTACAGAGAGAAATCATGTCTTAAAAAAGAAGAAGAAGAAGAAGAAGAAGAAGAAGAAGAAGAAGAAGAAGAAGAAGAAGAAGAAGAAGAAGAAGAAGAAGAA